CGGAGGGGAGACACCCCGAGACCACCCCGCCCGCGGGCGAGGCCAGCCCACCCCCGGAGCCGTGACTTCCGCCGTACGAGTACAATGACAGGAGGGGGCTGGCGTGCGCCTCAGTGGTGGCGTGCCCGGTTAGCAGGTGCAAAGGCCCTGGGGCTCAATCCTCAACACATGCACACACTGGAGGAAAGAGAGGGAGGGAAGGAAGGGGGGGGGGAAGGAGAAAGGGGGGGGGGAGGAGAAGGGAAAGACAAGGCAAAGGAAATGGCCGGGCAGGGCATGGTGGCACAGGCCTGGAATCCTAGCACTCAAGTGGCTGAGACAGGAGGGCCATGAGTTCAAGGCCAACTGGGCTCCATAGCAAAAAGCCTAGCTTGAAATAAGAAGTAACAATGAAACGTTTTGTCAGGTAGGGGTGGCTCACGCCTGTCATCCTGGCTACTCAGGAGGCTGAGATCTGAGGATCACGGTTCAAGGCCAGCCCAGGCAGGAAAGTGCATACCTTATTCCCCAGTGAACCAGCAACAAGCTGGAAGTGGCGCTGTGGCTCAAGGGGTAGAGTGCTACCCTTAAGCAAAAAAAGCTCAGGGACAGCGCCTGGGCTCTGAGTTCAAGCCCCAGGACTGGCTTCAGTTAATGAATGATTATTATACCCACACTTTAAAAACAACAACAACAATAAGGTTGCCTTTTTTTTTTTTTTTTTTGCTGGTCCTGGGGCGCTGTCCCCTGAGCCTCTCTGTGCTCAAGGCTAGCACTCTACCCCTTGAGCCACAGCACCACTTCCAGCTTTTTCTGTATATGTGGTACTGAGGAATCGAACCCAGGGCCTCATGCATGCTAGGCAAGCACCCTACCACTGAGCCACCTTCTCGGCCAAGCTCACCTTTTTGCATCACTTATCTGAGTTGCCCAGGGGGCCTTCCGCATCCTCTTGCCTTTAGTGGAAAAGAGTGACGAAACCAGGTTATTGTACTCTTACAGTGCTACAGCTTCTCTGCTAAGTGCCTTACACAGACGTATGATCTTGACCTAGGCCATGTGAGAAAACTGAGGCACAGAGAACTTAAGCAACTTTCTCAAGGGTGCACAGCTCTGATTGGCTCCCGCCAGGATTTGAATTCATAAGCCAAGGTCTAACACTTGGCCCTAAGTGATTCTGAATTGCTCTGCAGACATGCATTTTTATTCTGCCCCTGGCATGTCTATAAACATTGTGAGTCAGAACAGATGGTTTGTCAAAGGCAAACGAAGTGAATCTGTCTTAGACTGCCGGCAGCTTTAGCATCTCGGTTTTCAAGTCGGAAGGATCTAAGTTACAGCTTTGCAGTTTGGATATCGATTCTTGCTGGATGTGTAAGTGCTGCCTGGATGGTATATTGATCATGTGATAATTAAAATAGGTCAAGGCAGACATCATGTGTCTGTGTGCACGCACGTGTATACACCGGCATACTAAATTGTTGTGCTGCTGGCAGTCAAGCCCAAGGTGTTTTACACGCCAGACAAGCACTCTACTACTGAGCCACCTAACAACGATGCTCTGTTTGCTCACATTGAAGGAAGATGAAAACGTTATGCACTCACTGGTGGCTCCTGCCTGTCATCCTAGCTACTCAGGAGGCTGAGATCTGAGGATCGCTGTTCAAAGCCAGCCCAGGCAGAAAGTCCTCAAGAGACTCTCTCCAATGAATCACTCAAAAACCGGAAGTGGAGCTGTAGCTAAAGTGGTAGAGTCCTTGCCTTGAACAAACAAGTAGCTCAGAGACAGCATCCAGGCCCCGAGTTCGAGCCCCGCAAACAGAGGGGGTAGGGAGGATGAAAGAGATACAAGGATCAGGGTTCAAAGCCAGCCCAGGCAGAAATGTCTGTGAGCCTCTTATCTCCAGTAAACCACCAAAAAGCCAGAAGTGGAGCTGTGGTTCACTTGGCAGAGCTTTAGTCTTGAAAAAAAAAAAAAAAAGGCTAAGGGACAGTGCCAGGTGAACCAAGATTCTCCCATCTCAGCCTCCTGAGTAGCTGGGATTACAGGCCTGAGCCACCACACCCAGCTTAAGTCCCTTTTATGTCAAGTCCATTTTAAGTCCTTTTATGTCAAGTGGGGATGACGCTTCTCTCATCCCATTTCATCTAGGATATTCGCGATTGTTCGGGACCCTTAAGTGCACTTACTGAGCTGAACACAAAAGTCAAAGAGAAGTTCCAGCAGTTACGGCACAGAATACAGGTAAGTGTGGCTGCGGGTCTCCAATGCCAAGGACGCATAACAGTGAAGGGCTCCTGGGTATCTTCCCACATAGGGCTTCGGATGCCAGCCGGACGCAGTGGAAAGCATTGAGACAGTAAAGGAGCCTGTCCCAGCCTGCTCTCCAGGTACTGATTACTCAGGCCTTTAGGTGCAGATTGGATCTGTGTGTGTGCTCGTATGCTTGAACTCAGGGCTGGGCACTATCCCTGAGCTTTTGTGCTCAAGGCTGGTGCTTTACCACTTTAGCCATACCTCCCTGTTTAGCTTTTTGGTGGTTCATTAGAAATAAGAAATTCAGCCAGGCAATCCGAGCGGAGGCTGAGATCTGAGGATCACGGTTTGAAGCCAGCCTCCGCAGAAAAGTCCCCATGAGCCTCTCATCTCCAGTTAACCACTCAAAAACTGGTAGTGGAACTGTGGGTCCAAGTGGTAGAGTGCTAGCCTTGAGCAAAAGAGCTCAGGGACAGCACCCAGGCCCTGAGTTCAAGCCCCAGTGACCGACAACAAAAATTCTAATAATAATTTCATGGATTTTCCTGCATGGGCTGCCTTCAGACCTGATTCTCAGATTTCAGCCTCCCGAGTAACTAGTGTTACAAGTGTTAACTACCAGGCACTGGTTAGATCACCAGCTCAGATTGGAATTTTTTTTTCCCCCAGTCCTGGGGCTTAAACTCTTGGTCTAGACACTCTGAGCTCTTTTTGCTCAAGACTAGCACTCTTATCACTTGAGCCACAGTGCCACTTCTGGAATTTTCTGTGATTCATTGGAGATAAGTCTTTTTTTTTTGTTCTGGTCGTGAGGCCTGAACTCTGGGGCTAGGCGCTGTCCCTCAGCTCTTCAGCTCAAGGCTAGCGCTCTACCACTTGAGCCACAGCGCCACTTCCGGCTTTTCTTTTCTGCTTATGTGGTGCTGAGGAATCGAACCCAGGGCCTCATGCATGCAAGGCAAGCGCTCTACCACTGAGCCACCTTCCCAGCCCTAGAAGATAAGAGTCTTAATGGACTTTCCTGCTCAGGCTGGCTTTGAACCACGATCCTCAGATCTCAGCCTCCTGAGTAGTTACGATGACAGACATGAACCACGGTGCCCAGCTTCAGTTGGAATTTGTATAGCTTTAAAACAGGTCATTTCAACAGTTTTCTCTGTCCCTTTCCAACCCAGGCCCTCATTCCCTGCTTCAGGCCAGCACCAGCTTTTTTTTTTTTTTTTTTGGGAGGGGGGTCCTGGGTCTTTTACTCATGGCCTGGGTGCTGTCCCTCAGCTCTTCAGCTCAAGGCCAGTGCTCTACCACTTGAACCACAGCACCACTTCCGGTTTTCTGGTGGTTCATTGGAGACAAGAGTCTCACGGACTTTCCTGCCCAGCCTGGCTTTGAACCGTGATCCTCAGATCTCAGCCTCCTGAGTAGCTAGGATGACAGGCGTGAGCCACCAGTGCCCGGCTCCAGCGCCAGCTTTGTCCTAGGTAAAGCTTTGCACGCTTTTTGTCCAGACTCCTCCTGTTTCGCATCTGACTTCAGCTAGGGTGTTGGTGCCATCTGAAAATGCAGTGGCGGTGTTTGCATGCTGCGCCCTCACAGGGTGCGTGGGTCCCAGGGAGTGTCTTCTGGGTGGGTGGGGTCCCCCAGGCTCACTGCATGGGTCAGAGCTGTGTTCTCTTCCAGTGACATCACCTCAAAAGCAGTTACTTTGTTGTTGCTTAGAAGTACAGAAAGTCTGTCCCAAAGTTGGTAGAAAAGCTAGCCAGTTGAGCCAGGCAGCAATAGTGCCCTTGTCTTGTGTGTCACCTGGGATATTTTTAGAGAGCAGTTTTGAAAACATCCAACTTCAGCTCCAGGCTTCACATTCTACCTCTGTCACTGCACCCCAGCTGATCTTTTGGGTGTTTGGGGTTTTTTCGTTTTGTTTTGCTTTTGCCCAGTCCTGGGGCACTTCAATTTTCTGGTGGTTCATTGGAGATAAGAATCTCACAGACTTGGAGCTGGGAAGGTGGCTCAGTGGTAGAGCGCTTGCCTTGCATGCATGAGGCCCTGGGTTCAATTCCTCAGCACCACATAAGCAAAAAGAAAAAAGAAAAGCCGGAAGTGGCGCTGTGGCTCAAGTGGTAGAGCGCTCACCTTGAGCTGAAGAGCTGAGGGACAGCGCCCAGGCCCAGAGTTCAGGCCCCACGACCAGACCCCCCCCAAAAAAAAAAAAGAATCTCACAGACTTTCCTGCCCAGGCTGGCTTTGAACCACGATCCTCAGATCTCAGCCTCCTGAGTAGCTAGGATGACAGGCGTGAGCCACAGGCAGGCGGCCACTTCCATCTTTTTGATTTTTCTGGAGATAATGTCTCTTGAGCGGGACACTGGTGGCTCACACCTGTCATCCTAGCTACCCAGGAGGCTGAGATCTGAGGATCACATTTTGAAGCCAGCCCAGGGAAGGAAAGTGTGAGCCTCTTATCTCCAATTAAATCACTGAAAAAGCCAGAAGCAGCATTGTGGCTTAAGTCGTAGAGCACCAGCCTTGAGCAAGAGGAGCTCAGGGACAGCACCCAGGCCCCTGAGTGCAAGCCTCAGGACTGGCAGGAAAAAAAGTCTCACTTTTCTGCCTAGGCTGGTTTCAAACCACAATTCTCAAGTGTCAGTCTTCTGAGTGGCTCGGATTACAGTCATGAACCACCACCAGTTCCCAGCTCATATTGCCTTTTCAAATCTGTGTAACTCGGGCTGGGAATGTGGCTTCGTGATAGAGTCCTAGTCTAGCATGCATGAAGCTCTGGGTTCGATTCCTCGGTACAACCTACACAGAAAAGGTCAGAAGTGGCGCTGTGGCTCAGGTGATAGAGTGCTAGCCTTGAGTAAGAAGAGCTCAGGGACAGCACCCAAACCTTGAGTTCAAGCCCTAAGACTGGCCCAAAACAAAGTAAAAATAAAAGGCCTTGTAACAACCAGCTCTTCTTGCTCCCTACCCCTCCCGCCTCTCCAGGAGCTGGAGCAGTCTGCTAAGGAGCAGGACAAGGAATCAGAGAAGCAGATTCTGTTGCAGGAAGTGGAGAACCACAAAAAGCAGATGCTCAGGTAGGCAGGGCTCAGGAACGCCATTGTGCCATTTACACCTGGGCCGGATGGTCTCTGATGGAGGAAGAGGGGAAGGAGAAGCAACTCGTGGGCAGTTCACAAAAATATACTTAATATTCCATATATTGGGCCCTGGACACTGTCCCTCAGCTCTTCAGCTCAAGGCTGGCGCTCTACCACTTGAGCCACAGCGCCACTTCCAGTTTTCTGGCGGTTTATTGGAGATCAGAGTCTCACAGACTTTCCTGCCTGGTCTGGCTTTGAACTGCGATCCTCAGATCTCAGCCTCCTGAGTAGCTAGGATGACAGGCGTGGGATGTCCCTGGCCCACGCACGCATAGGAGGGACCAGAGAGGGCTGGGACGCCGGTGATTGGCCAGCAGGGTGCTAGTCCTTGGCTCGCGGGTGATTCCCTGTGTGGGGATTGTGTTTGCTCCCCGGTAGTCCATCTCGTGGAAACCTCACAAGTTAGGCCACACGCCATCTCTGCAGCACTGCCGCAGTGTCGTGTGCTCACGTGACCCTTTTCTTTTTGTCTTCCAGCAACCAGACCTCATGGAGGAAAGCCAATCTCACCTGCAAAATGGCGATCGACAACCTAGAGAAAGCGGAGCTTCTGCAAGGAGGAGGCCCCCTGAGGCAAAGGTAGCCCCGCTTTTGTGTCTCTCCGGCCTAGGAACCCCAGAACCCCTGCTCCTCTGCACAGAGCATCTCTGCCTTTGAGCCTGACGTTGGTTCTTAATACCATTGAATGCATAAGAGCTTTTATTTACTTTTTTGTGTAGTAGTCCTGGGGCTTGAACTCAGGGCCTGAGCACTGTTCCTGAGCTTTCTCACTCAAGGCTGGTGCTCTACCACTTGAGCCACAGCACCACTTCCGGTTTTCTGGTGGTTCATTGGAGCTAAGGCTCTCATGGACTTTCCTGCCCGGGCTGGCTTCGAACTGCAGTCCTCAGATCTCAGCCTCCTGAGTAGCTAGGATGACAGGCGGGAGCCCCTGGCGCCTGGCCGTAGTAGATTTTAAAGTCTGAAAGAAATCTGTGGCTTATTTCAAATAAATGGGTAAAATCAAAACCTGAATTCCAAAATGAGAAAACTCTGTGTCTAATCTTATTGCTCCTTTTTGCCACACCATCTCCCCTATTATTTTCCTTCCATATTGTTTAGAGCGAAAGCCACACGATATGTAGATTTCATTTTCCTTTTGTCCTTGTAGTATTAGTACAACAGCGCCCGCTTGTTCTAACACTCTTAACCATGAGTTCAGTGTGTGCCGTTCCATTGCGTTAGCCAGCCGTGTTACGCACAATAGCAGGTCTTAGCACATGAGGCTACACCCATATTTGGGGGAGTTCTTTTGAGGGATGCTCCCTAAGATTATTGGCTTATTATTTTCTGAGATTTTGAACTTTGGGCTTTTTTTTAGGGGGGGATGTAGGACTTGAACTCTGGGCCTGGGCGCTGACCCTCAGCTCTTCAGCTCAAGGCTAGTGCTCTCCCACTTGAGCCACAGCACCACTTCCGGCTTTTTGTTTTTTCCGCTTGTGTGGTGCTGAGGAATCGAGCCCAGGGCCTCATGCATGCAAGGCAAGCTACTTACCACTGAGCCACCTTCCCAGCCCAGATTATGAACATTTTTAAGACTCTCTATGACTTGCTTTCCAGACAGCAGCCCCAGTTTCTATTCCATCTTTGCAGTCCACAAAAGCCAGAGGAGATCATTTTAAAATAGCTGAGTATGGTGGTGCTCACCTGTAATCCCAGCACTTGGGAGGCAGATGCAGGGAGATTGTGTATTTGAGGCCAGCTGGGCTACATGGGAAATTCCAGGCCGGCTTTAGCGGATATGTATATCAAGAAAATATCAGCCAGGAGCCTGTGGTTCACACCTGTCATCCTAGCTACTCAGGAGGCTGAGATCTGAGGATCACGGTTTGAAGTCAGCCTGGGCAGGAAAGCCCATGAGACTCTTATCTCCTCCAGTTAATCACCAAAAAGCCAGAAGTAGCGCTGTGGCTCAAGTGGTAGAGTGCTAGCCTCGAGCACAGATTGGCTCAGGGACAGTGCCCAGACCCAGAGTTCAAGCCCTAGGACCAGCAAAAAAAAAACTCAAAAAATAAGAGCAGAGAAACTGAGAAACTACCACGAGGTGATAGGAGGTAGGTAGGTGAAAACATGAGGCGCCATTGAGCGGTGAGCTTTATAAAGGGAACTGTTTTAGCTCTTAACTTAATATTGATTTTATTTGTGTATATGCACACATATATGATTTTATTGTTACTAAGGTGATGCATAGACGGGTCAACATTTTCATAAGTAATGAGTACATTTCTTTGGAGGTTTTTGTTTTTTTTTTTGGTTAGTCCTGGGGCTTGAACTCAGGCCCTGGGCGCTGTCCCTGAGCCTCTCTGTGTTCAAGGCTAGCGCTCTACCCCTTGAGCCACAGCGCCACTTCCTGCTTTTTCTGTGTCTGTGGTGCTGAGGAATCGAACCCAGGGCTTCATGCATGCGAGGCCAGCGCTCTACCCCTGAGCCACCTTCCCAGCCCCTCCTTCGTTCATTTCTGTACTCTCCTTTGCGCCCCCCCCCAAAGACAAAAACAAAAAATTCAAAAGCAGCAAAACAAAAGATAACAAGACCACCATTACCACCAACATGAGCAAAACAAAGCGTGCTTCCATTTGCTGGAGTTCGTTTGGATGCCTGGTACCTGAGATGTTGGGAGGAGTCAGCTTCCCCCCCCCCGGGCCTCCTTGGAACCTGTGTGCCTTCGCCTGGAGCCCCGCAGAGCCCTGCCATCCAGCTTCTGCCTGGGACGGAACGCATGCGCCGTTGGTCCCTCTGAGCTTGGCCGGCCCCACTGAGCGCGATCGGAGCCAGGTCTACCAGTTGTTGACGTGGCTTCTCTCTCCTCTGGATCTCCAGGAAAACCACCAAAGAGAGCCTGGCCCAGACCTCCAGCGCCATCACCGAGAGCCTCATGGGGATCAGCAGGATGATGTCCCAGCAGGTCCAGCAGAGCGAGGAGGCCGTGCACACGCTAGGTAAGGCCAAGCCTGGAGCAGGAGGCGTCTCCCAGAGTCGCCCGAGTGGCCGTGGCCCAGCGCTTCCACACCTCTGCTGTCCCCCCCCATCGGTGACGTCATCGCGGGTGGGGTGACGTCATCCGTAGGGGTGACGTCACAGCTGGCCTCTGCCCTGGCTGTGATGTGACGCGCTGCTCCGATGTCTGCTTTTGGTTATTGGAGCTGTGCTAACCTTACACTCCACCCGGGTTCCCCAGTAGAAGTCACCCCATAGGGGGTCCCGTGAGACGCGGGTAGACCTCCCCCCACGCACACCCTACCTGCTCGGATCTCAGTTTAAAAGCCAGCCGGCACTGGTGACGCACACCTGTAATCTTAGCCACTCAGGAGGCTGAGATCTGAATATCACTGTTTGAAGCCAGCCCAGGCAGGAAAGTCGGGGAGACTCCTAACTCCAATGAGCGGCCAGAAAGCTGGAAGTGGAGCTGTGGCTCAAGTAGTAGAGCAAAAAAAAAAAAAAAAACTAAGGGATAGCACTCAGGCCCTGAGTTCAAGCCCGAGGACCAGCACAAAATACAAAAATAAGCCTATGGCCCGCACCTGACATCCTAGCTACTCAGGAGGCTGAGATGTGAGGATTGAAGTTCAGAGCCAGCCCGGGCAGGAAAGTCGGTGAGACTCCCACATCTGATTAACTACCAGAAAACTGGAAGTGGCGCTGTGGCTCAAGTGGTAGAGCGCTAGCCTTGAGCACAAAAGCTGAGGGACAGCGCCCAGGCCCTGAGTTCAAGCCCCAGGACTGGCAAAAAAAAAAGGGGGGGTGGGGAGTGAATTTAAGGAAACTGAAAAACGTAAAATACGAGAAGAGCCCGTGGGGGGGCTTGGCTGGGTTCACAGCAACCCCTTGCTGTGTGGGCGGGGCCTGGGGGACCGCCCATGGGGGTGGGGCATGTGGAAGGACCACCCCTTGGGGCGGGGCCTGTTCTGGGGGCGGGGCCTGGAGTGGCCGCCAGCCCCTCTAAAGCCGAGGCCGGGTCGCTTCCGCTTCCGCTCCAGCCAACTCTTCCCGAACCATCCTGGACGCCAATGAAGAGTTCAAGTCCATGTCGGGGACCATCCAGCTGGGCCGCAAGCTCATCACCAAGTACAACCGCCGCGAGCTGACCGACAAGCTCCTCATCTTCCTGGCGCTGGCCCTCTTCCTCGCCACCGTGCTCTACATCGTCAAGAAGCGCCTCTTCCCCTTCCTGTGAGCGCCCGCACCTGGGCCCCGCCTGGCCCCGCCCTCCCCCGGCCG